TCCTGAATTTAAATATATTAAGCATAATAAATACAAAGTGATCAAATTATATGTCTATCATAGAGAGAAATCTGAAATATTTGTATTATTGACATTTGAACTTCTGTCCAATAAGTCAGTCTTGATCTTTATATTTTACAGAAAGACTTATTTTCTTTCTTTCACCTCTCAAGTTTATTATGTACCTGGGTAGTTCAAATTTCTGAACAATTTCCTTTTTTGATTGTTTGTAAATGTGCCATAAATTGTGATTTTCTTTACGTTAAAGTGAGGAAGCCCAAGATATGTACAATATAAGTGCCATATTCAGAGCCACAATGTTAGCTTTAGCATATACATATACATATAGCTTTAGATGTAACCAGTTTTAGGAAAACATATAATAATCTTTATTTACATGTATTACATGTATTCGATCAAATCTCTCATGAAGCTCTTCAGGCTTTATGGGTCTATCTCACATGTGCATCCTCATATAAGTTTTAAAAATAGGATAACATTATTTCTTGGATATATTAAAATAATTTAATTTTGTTTATATTCTAGTCTCTCATTGGTTGATTTCCAAAAAGGAACGCAAACCATTTCTTGATAACCTGGTTTGGTATGGGGACACACCCCCTTGACAACCAGCTGAATCATCTGTATCCATGCAATCCTCTCATTTCCAGTCCATGGCATTCATAAATAAATCCAGATTTAATAAATATGCCTTTAACTTCAAGCAGTAGCTCGCTCTTACCTCAAGTAAACAAACATCATGGCTGCTAGATCTGTGTATCAGTTATTACGTCCCCTTGTTTCAAATCACTTCCGTTCTAGGGATGTATTAAGCGGCAAAAACTCATAAAAAGCACCACAATTTTACACCCACAATTGTTCAATTATTTAAAAATCCAAAATGTTAGCTTCCACATTTATAAAAAACCAGTTGTCGCGGATTATGGTAAACTGACCCAAACCAGTTAGCATCGAATAATTTGGCCAAGAATTAGAGTCATTCCTAAATTGTTTAAAAGTATTTCCTCCCAATTTTTAAAAGATATAGGATTACATGCAACTTTTTTCGACGAATGTTCTTTGTGTTACAGTTGTAAAGCTGTATATATCAATAAATTTTCACGATCAAGCTTTTTTGGATCTTTGATAATAGACACAGAGAAAAGAAAGCAAGTAAATCGCGATAAACCACGCTTTTATTCGCGACGACGAATAAAAGTTGGTTTACAGTATTTACAACAAATGTGCCATATCTATATCCAAAATGTTAGCTTCCACATTTATTAAAATTACCAGTATGTTTACAGCTTTGGTTGTAACCTGTTTATGCATCTGCATATTGTTCTTTACTTAAATGTATATACCTTAATGTTCTGTGTATACGTATGAGATACATGCATATTTTCTAAATGTTCGGTGTATTACTTTCATGTATATATATAATGGTTCTCTGTATTGTTTGTTTTTGTTGAAGACTATAAAAGAAAGGAAGCAAATAATTGTGAACTTGTTTACAGGTAAATATAATGTGCAGTAATAAAAGATAGGACATCATGACATGGATACATGTATAAAGTAGAAGTTGACAGGGGAGAGAACAACTCATACATTGATGTTACCTGTAAATCACTTTTTATTTGCGAGAACTTTATTTTTGTTTAATAACGCTTGACAGTGTGCTTGCAAAATTATCATTTTTGCATATTATATAGGCATTCCTTTAGATTATACAAGCAGTAATCAAAATTTATGAAAAATTTGTTTTGCTTAAAAAGAGGCAATGAATATCTCGCTAAAATAAGGTGTCAGGAATATTAAGTGATCTACAGTAACTGTTTCCCCTGTATGGAACAAAGAAAGAGGCTACTTTTGATAGTGAGTCAGCTGGAATCTGGACACAGAGATTAAAAATTTATTAGCCATTGTCCTCGTTTTGCTTTGATTTTTATCCTGCTTTGGTGAATTTGTATTCATTTGTAAATTATTTTTTAAAAAGAGATGTTTGTGAAACACTTATGCCCTCCTCCCCCAAAATTGGAATTTTTTTGTAAGTCCAAGGCACATAACTGTGTCAAAAATTGCTCAATCATACCTTGAAACAAAACTTGACCTAGATATTATTATGAAAAAGTCTATATACCAAATTTCATTTCAGTAGGTTTAACCTCTATGAATAAAATGAATGGAAATTGTGAATAATTGGAATTTTTCTAAATCCAAGGGGCACAACTCTGTCAAAAGTGGTTTGATCAATACCAAATCAAAACTTGGATATTCTTATGAAAAATTTATATACTAATTTTCATATTGGTACATTCAACTTCTGCAAAGAAATGAATGCAAACTGCAAATAATTGGAATTTTTCTAAGTCCAAGGGGGATGACTGTCAAAAATGACTCAATCATACCAAAAACACAACTTGACATAGATATTCTAATGAAAATATGTACAGTGGAAGATATGGCTCATATCGGATACACAAAATTTTTCATTGAACGAAATTTTAAAATGTTATTCTGTCTTGTTTAACTGGTGAACATATCCGGATGTGGGAACCAAAGCGTCCGGATAAATGAGGGTCCACTGTATACCAAATTTGATGTCAGTATGTGCAACCACTGTGAAAAAATAGATGGAAACTTTGGGGAGCAACAGACAGCAGTAAAGTAAGGTGCCCTCCTTATTTTGAAGGGGAGTATAAAAAGAGGAAAAAGCTATCAACATTTCTTTAGCAACTACTGTAAACCAACTTTTATTCGCGATGACTTTATTTCGCGATTTATCGAGGTTAAACTAGTTCGCGACGATTAATTTTCGCGATCAAGCCTTTTTGGATTTGTAGACAATAGACACAAAGACTAACAGAACCGGTTCGCGGCGAGAAATTTTCGCGAAGAAGATGCTCTCGCGAACTTCGCGAAAATTTCTCGCACGCGAATAAAAGTTGGTTTACAGTAGTTTCCTCTGGTATTTTAAGTATTTGTGGCAAAAGGCAAAAAAGAGTATACATGCTAGTATATTACAGTAATAATTTAATGTGAAGTTATTTAATACTTGGCACATCTGAACACATTCTATTTAACATACTAGTAAATCTTATTATAATGTATATCATTGCACAACTCCCTTCATCAGTTCACTTTAGCAGTTGTCAGTTTTTTGTCCTTTGGTGTGTAGTCTGGAGAAAACCAAAGTCCATATAACATAACAGCATGACACACATGTAACAAGGAACTACTTAACACAGTGGAAGGATACGTATTCCAACACAGCTCTATCACACCTAATACCAGAATACTGAAAACAAGAAAAGGCAAAGGTTATATGATATAAAAGCATTTAGCTAATGAAATCAAGTCTACTAAAAGACAATACACAAGATTAAGTTAAAATTTTAAGCAATTACTTGTTTCTTATTTGACACTATTTTATAATAAACTTGTTATAAATCAAATTGAATGTAATATATTATCTGATAACTTACTTGACAATAGAAGGCTGTGAAGTGGACCAGAGAAGATAATGAAGGGTGTGGAAATACCAGACATAGAACTGATAATGGAGGGACCGACTAAAACTCATCCCTATCAGATTAGCTGTGAACAGGGGAAGTAATATCTGTAGCACTGTCAAGGAACTCTTATGTTAAAAGAGGGGGGGATGCAAATTGAATGTAGGTAATTGATTGTCTCAAAAACATTTATTTTCATAGGTCAAATATTCACAGTTAATTGTTTTTGAGGATTATAGTTCATAGAAGAAGAAAAGATGAGATATTCAAGTATTAGATCTAAACAATTTGTGCGGGATTGTGAATTTGTTCTCTCCGTACAAAAAATTTAACAAAATTTACACCCTTACGAAAGTAGGTGTGTTCTCCTTTATGTTGAGATAATCAAACATGAAGGACAATAAGTTTACTGGTGAAATAAACGTAGGTATTCAGAGATTACAGAGCTCACCTCAACGAATGTTGTCTTTATATAGGCAAATTAAGTCACACAATTAACCAACAAAAAGTGTACATCCAAAAATGCAAAATTTATGCAATTTTTACTTTGAATAGACCTATATAAAAACTTAAAACTAGTTCTTCATCATAAAAATGTAATTAAAATCCAGCATCTGAAGCAAGATTGAGAGTTTTCATCCCTTGATGCATCATTTGTGCAACTTTGTATATAAGCCTTATAGTTTCTTGGTGATAGACCTGCACCCATAACTTTTAGGGTCTATTATGTGGAAAATGTATGGATTCAGCATCTGAAGCAAGTCCATTAGTGTGCATCCTAAGATATATCATCCATGCAAGTTTGTTCAACATAGAGTTCAAAGTTACTTGGAAATGAAACCGGTATAAAAAACTAACCTTTTCACTAATCCGGAAAATGTAGGTCAGATTCAGCTTCTGAAGCCAGCATAGTAGAATGCACCCTTAGATGTACCATCCATGCAAGTTTGGTCATTATAGGGCTCAAAGTTACTTGGAAATGAATCCTGCACCATAAACTTTAACCTGTTTACTCATCCAGAAAATGTAGGTCAGATTCAGCATCCGAAGCAAGTCTGGTAGTATGCATCCTAAGATGAACCATCCAGGCAAGTTTAGTCATTATAGGGTTCATAGTACCTTGGAAATGAAACCTGCACCAAAAATTTTAACCTGTTCACTCACCCGGAAAATGTAGGTCAGATTCAGCATCCGAAGCAAGTCTTGTAATATGCATCCTAAGATGTACCATCCATGCAAGTTTGGTCATTATATGTCACATAGAAACTTGGAAATGAAACCTGCACCAAAAACTTTTCCCTGTTCACTCAACCGGAAAATGTAGGTCAGATTCAGCATCCGAAGCAAGTCTAGTAGAATGCATCCTAAGATGTACCATCCATGCAAGTTTGGTCATTATAGGGTTCATAGTATCTTCAAAATGAAACCTGCACCAAAAACTTTAACCTGTTCACTCAACCAGAAAATGTAGGTCAGATTCAGCATCCGAAGCAAGTCTGGTACATGCATCCTAAGATGTACCATCCATGTAAGTTTGGTCAACATAGGGCTTATAGTATCGGAAATGAGACCTACACCAAAAACTGCACCAAAAATGTTAACCTGCACCAAAAACATTAACCTGGTGATTCCTTTGCTGAAATTGCAGCATCTGAAACTTTAACTGGTACAATGAAACACATTAGAAACATCTTCCATGCATGTCTAATCAATATAGGACATAGAAGTACTTAAAAAGAAAACTGCTCCAAAAAACTTAACCTAACCCGGGACGCCGACGCCGACGCTGAGGGTATCACATAAGCTCCCCCCAACTTCGTTGAAGTGAGCTAAAAAGTGGTTTGCTCTTTCAAATTTATATTCAAAATTAAGCCATACATTATAAAGTTTAAAAAAATTAATAAATTTATATAGTAGGCTTTTACATAAAAAGGATATGATTTGGAGAGAGTGTTGTGTTGGATTCTTTCATCCAGAGGCTAAAGTTGGCTCCTGGATATAACCTGAGAAATACGACAAAAACAGCATATATATAGAGAAATGTTTTCCTAAAACATGTCAGTAACTATGCCACTGAAAACAAAATATACATGTATAAATCCAAATTCATTTCTTTAAATTTCAGATAACTGGACAGAGTCAATTGTAAAAGCATAGTTACAAAATATGTATTCACAAACTTAAAACATGTATCCTGTAAAGATGAAGTTTTTTTTCAATTTTAAATAAATGTGAAAAATTATGACTTCTAAAGAATGATATATATCTGTGTTAGTTTTCACTTTTAGCTTTGGATTATGACTCATCCATTCCGATTTAAAATTTAGAAACTTCTGATGATATGCATACTAACCTCCTCCATTTAAATAAGAAAAACAAGATGAGAATTGTGATGTGTGAGATGAGGAGAGCTGACTGGAAATATTTACTGAGGAAAATCTCCTCAGGAATCAGTCGCCAATTAACGGTCCAGACGTAAAAAAATTGACGACCAAAGTTAAACGACATCAGTATGTATCCTACAGGGTTCTCTAGCAGGAATGGAACTGCCAGCACAACCTGGAATTAAAACAAACCATGAACCAGCAATTATTTGTGTAAGGGAAATATTCTAAAGTCTGACTTGCCTCCTTTCCATCAGTAAACCAGTCATATAAAACTGTTTATAAATTTACCATTAAGGAAAACAAACATGGATAACAACAATAACGCCAGTCAACTAGACGTAATAAGACTCTTCGGATCAAGTTACAGTTAATATATATATTTCATTATAAACAATGATACCTGAGGAACAGCACATATAGTGAGGTACCAGATGGTTTTCAGTGTCCCAAATCTGACCATTAACAGCATAAGTACAGCAGGACTAAACAACAGCAGGTTCATCTTGATGGACACACCTAAACTACAAAAGAGGTATTTTGATTTTTTTTATTTTGAATACCTTTAAGGGTGGTAATAAGGTTAGATAACTAGGTAGGGAAT